AGAAATGGAAGTCTGCTTCCACAAAGAATACAGTATCAGAAATCCTATGGGGAAGTACTATTCTATCAGATAGGGTATCTCTGAGTCAGATAGACTGAACAGCAAAGGGTTTTTTTGTTTTATTTTGTTTTTTAAAAACAGTCCAATAAAGAATGTAAGGTAGAACAGAAATTAGAGAAGAGGTTTTAAGATGTGACTATTAGTCCCTTCTTCTCAAGAGGCCAATACCCAGAAGAACACAGCCAGCAGGAAGGAAGTTTTTAGACAGTACAGAGAAAAGTTAATCTGGGGCTGTCAGAGATTGCATGGATGGAATATTACTGGAAGACTAGGTCAGAGCTGAAAAATTACTTCATACAAAATCCAAACTGGAGGGAAAGGATAGAAAGAGTAAAGTTTCTAGCTAAGATCCCTAGAAGCAAGGTACAATCAGGTATTTGGAATGTGAGGGAAGAGGAACAGAACAGGTACTATCACTTGTTAAGTGTGTATTAGAAGAATGCCTCTGCATCAGGACAGATGTGGTTCTTGCCAAGTGGGATGTCACTATGTTGGATTCGTAAGTATGGGGAGGAGAAAAGAAAACAATCAGTACTTGCTGACTGACAAAGAGTTATCAACCTCTTCTTAAAGAGACTAAAATGGCCTTAGACATATCCTAATTTCCCACAATTACGTTACACAGGCAGATCAATCACTACCAAATGGTTCAAACCATTATTCTTAAAACCCAATGCTGTCAAATGGCTTCCAACTCACAGAGACCCTTTAGTACAGAGCGGAACTACACTATATGATTTCCAGGACCATAATCTTTATGGAAACGCAATGCCATATATTTTGCTCATGGAATGGCTGGTGGGTTCGAACCACTGGCTTTCAGTTAGCAACTGAGCACTTAACCACTGTTATACCAGGGATCCTCTTACTTTACAAGAATTCTTAGAAAAAGTCTTTGCATAAGTCTGGGGTGCACATAGTCCCTTAACAAACTCAGCAGAGCCTATGCATAGCATTCATTGCCACTGATTCACTATGAGATGTAGCCAGACCATACACAATTCACACAGGTAGGAAATAACCTCTGAAAGGAAAGAAATAGGCCATCTGGACATTTCTGGGCAGAAGTCAGGAAGTCTTGTGTTTCACTGTCATTCAGGCACCTGTGAAGGCAGCCTGAATAATTTACATTAAAATGTGGGGGAAATAACATTACTCACAGTAGCAGAAAGGCATGAATTGTTATTTAAACATAACCAAAAAGCATGTAAAGTTATTGATTGCTATTCCCAGAGAAAAGTCTGATTTACAAAGTAGATGACACTCCCATTTATTATAAGCATAGACTATTTATAACATAAAACAAATAAATGTGTTTAAAACTTTCAAGACTCCCATGGGAATTCATTCAGTATTTTCCTGAATCTCTCTTCAGAATACTTCAATACATTCCTTCCAAGAACACAAAAGGCATAGAATGTTTCATGGACCTTGCATCTTCTGCAAAGTGAGTTCCATGATGTCTGGGTCAGAAAACTAAAAGGATGATTAAAACTGTTGCGAAGAGTCTGCTGCTACTGCTTTGGGCAGTGCCATGAAGTCACTTCAGACTCAATAACTTTGTATAAGGGTTCTGAGGCTGTAAATTTCACAGGAGCAAAAAGTCTCATATTTTCCCACGGAGCGGATGGTGGATTTGAACTGCTGACCTTGTGGTTAGCATCCCAATGTGTAACCCATTAAGCTACCAGGGCTCTAAGATACAAACTGCCAGCACTATTATTGTTAAGTGCCCTTGAGTTGGTTCCAACTCATAGGGACCCTGTATAGAGTTTCCAAGGAGTGACTGGTGGGTTTGCACTGCCAACCTTGCAGTTAGTAGTCTGGTGCTTATCCTATAGTACCACATCAGCACTATGGGCTCTAGCTATGGGGGAAAAAAAGAGTTTCTTACTATTTAAACCACGTTTTTTTCAAGTGTCAATTTATTGTCTTGACTTTGGTTAATTACTTAAGTCATTCCAATGTCTTCCTATGATACTTCTCCACTCATCTGTGTCATACTGTGGTGGCTTCTGTGTTGTTGTGACACTGAAAGTTATGCCAGCAGTGTTTCAAATACCAGCAGCATTGCCCATGGTTAATAAGTTTTAGCAGAGATTCCAGATAAGGAAGAAGAAATAGGCAGTCCACTTCTGAGAGACTGGCCATTAGAACACCTTATGAACAGCAATATAACACTGTCTGATGTCATTCTGGACTATGAGCCCTTTAGATTGGAGGGTACTCAAAATATGATTGAAGAAGAACTGCCTCCCCAAAGTAAAGTTAACCTTAATGGCACGATGGAACAAATAAAGTATTGTATTGGGAAAATCTGCTTAAAAAGACCTCTTTAGATGGTAAAGACCAAAGATTTCACTTTGGGAACTAAGGTTCACCTGATCCAAACCATTTTTAATCACCTCATACACCTGAAAAAGCTGGAAAATGAATAAGGAAACCCAGAGAAGAAATGATACACTTGAATTATGGCGCTGGCAAACAACAGCACCATGGACTGTCAGAAGAACAAAACAACTTGGCCGTGAAAGAAGTGTAGCCAGAATGCACTTTAGAAATGAGGATGGTGAGACTTAGTCTCGCTCACACACTTTAAACATGTTATTAAGAGGATCTACATGGAAGCAGTAAGGAACTCTGGTAGCGTAGTGGTTACGAATCGGGCTGCGAACCTTAAGGTCAGCGGTTCAAAACTACCAGCCGCTTCGTGGGAGAAAGATGAGGCTTTCTACTCCCGTAAAGACTTATACCCTCAGAAACCCTGTACAGTGTCGCTATGGGTCGGACCGACTCGACGGTATAAGGACCAAACTGACTTTACCTGATTTTGCCTACCTAGAGACTGCTTGGTGGTTACGAATCGGGCTGCGAACCTTAAGGTCAGCGGTTCGAAACTACCAGCTGCTCCGCGGGAGAAAGATGAGGCTTTCTACTCCCGTAAAGATTTACACCCTCGGAAACCCTGTACAGGGTCGCTATGGGTCGGAACCGACTCGATGGCACTTAACAACAACAACAAAGAGACTGCTTGACTAAACTCTAGTCAGGCTCAGGAAAGCATTTTAAATAGACAAGGCCTCAGTTATTAGTTCCCTCCAGAGACAAGGTCAATCTCCATTCTGTACATTAGCCTGAACATGTCCTCTAGCTCCAAGAAAATGATATATGTATAAATAGCCAGGCAGCTCAAGGCCAGAGGCCAGATGTTTTCCTTTACCCTAGCCTAAGAACAAAGACCACCAGTCCTGACCAATTAAACTGTAACATCTCATAGTTTGCCAATTGTTAACCAATCCAAAGATTGTAAAGCTGAGAAACCTGAGCTGTTTGAAAATTCTATAAAAACCCAGCAGACAATGAATTCGGGGCTCTTTCCCTATTCCGAAATGTCGGATAAGGTTAGAGACCTGGCTCGAGCTTGATTAAACAACCCTTATGTATTTGCATCGGTACACGGCTCCTGGGTGGTCTTTGGGGACCCCGAATTCTGGGCATAACAACGGCACTTAACAACAACAACAACAACAACATGGAAGCAGTAGTCAAGATCTGCCTTAGTCACTGTCCAGCTTTCACATCCATATAAGGTTATTGAAAAGCCATGGCTTGGGTCAGGCGCACCTTAGTCCTCAAGCTGACATCTTAGCTCTTCAACACTTTGAAAAGTTCCTGTGCAGCAGATTTGCCCAATGCAATACGTCGTCTGATCTCTTGACTGCTGCTTCCACGAGTGTTGATAGTTGATCCCATTGTAAAATATACTTTCATAAAATAAATTTTGACATCATTAAATATACATCAATTCAGAGTAAGGAGAAAAAAGAACAAATTGGGAAGATAAAGATAGCAAAAAAAGGAATCAACCCCATATTTAAAGCTACGATATATGAAGGTAAGTAGGAAAGTACGGCTATACATGCATGGGTTCATTGTAAACAAAATATATTTATTTAAACAATGTCTCTGCAATCACTGGATGGCTGCACACAAGTTCCCGCAGTAATATACATGTCTTAGTCTCATTAGGGTATCTTAAAAAAAAAAAAAAAAAGGGGGGGGCGGAGAGTTACCTGTCGAAGTCAAAGGGATTTGTTGGACCAGTTAAATTAAAGGCAGAGAAGTTAGCTCAGAAGGTTATAGCTTGTGTTTGGGGGATTACTAAGGGGTAATGACAGATTTTTCATAGGACACAACAACATCACAGGGGCATACTGTGAAGAAGGTTTTTTTTAAACAATGAAAACGTCATTGGTGAGACAAAAAGAAACAACAAACAGAAAGTTGCTCTGAGCAACTGTTCCAACACGCCAGCGCACCTACTCATTCTTCAAGGGCAGCTAGGACTGTCCTAGGAGAATTTTTCTTGGGAAACCTTACCCAATCAGCTCTAAATCCCTTCAGACTTCTTTTTGGTCACAAAATTCAAAGAACATTTGAAAGGAATATTACTTGAGTCCATTGAGATGTCAAAATTACAGTTTCAATATGGCGTAAATCAAAGTGAGCAGATACCATGGAAGTACCACCTTCAGAGGCATATAGATCTACATGGAGGCATATGTTGCAAACCAACAGCTTCATATTTTGGTATTTTTGCTTAATAAAGTTTTCTACCATTTTGTGGCAATGTTTTTGACATACCTTTGTAGATCACCCATAATGTAAGAATAATCTATAAACTTACAAATCAAATTCTACCCCATTAAAAATCAGTTGCTGTAGAGTCCATTCGGACTCATGATGATCCCACGTGTCTCAGGGTAGAACTGTGCTTCATAGGATTTTTCATAAGGAATTTTTAGATGGAGATCACCACCAGGCCTTTCATCTGAGGTGCCTCTGAGTAAACTTGAACCTCCAGCCTCTTGGTAAGCAGCCAAGCTGGTTAACCATTTCCACCACTTAGGGACTACCGCTTTATTATTCTTTTGCTTTACCTGAGATGAATCTGCTTGGGCTAGTTCTGTAGTGACCTTGAGGATTTGGCGAAGATTCTGTCCTTTATCTTCAACAAGGAGATATGCCAGCAAAAGAAAAACATGTGCAGGGATGACGGTAGTGATAGGGAGCAATGACTCTACTGAGGCCAACCAGTCGCAGGCCGCAGACTCGTCTCTCATTACTTCAAGCATCCTCCACGTTGTCAGTATTGAACCATACAGGCTGGTTATGGGGAATGCCAGCTTGTAAGAGAGCTGAAAAATAAATGTAAAAAAGTCAGAAACAAATTAGATAAGTATGTATGTTTGAAATAAAACCGTCTATTTTTCACATTTCATTGTAAAGACTAACCCTTTCTACACAATGAATACAAAGCTTTTGATTCATGACAAAGATATCTCTGCACACATTTGAGATATGACTATTGATACAAAGAGAAAAGAGATAGTTGCTAATATGGAACTCTAGAATATTACATCACAACTTTCCCTCATATTCTTTCCCAGTTAAGGAAGAAAAACAAATGGATGACCAATTTATAGGATCTAGAGGTAACAGAAGTTAGAAACATTCAATTATCATACAATTGTATCACTAGTAAGAGGGAAACAACAGAAAAACACTGTATTTGCCCAGCTCAAGGCCTTGTTAAGAGGCAGTCCTGGACAGAAGACTGATTAGTCTGAAGACAATTCATGTTTATAACAGACAGTATGTTGCTAGAAACAGAATTGGTTCAGCTGAAGTCTAGAGAGTTTACTCATAATTATGAACAACTTCTACAATAATAGCCTGATAGCTCTAAAGTGAAATGATACTCAAAGAAGACATTATGCTCAAGTCAGTCTGAAAACAATGTGGCATCACTATTGGAGGGAAACTCATTAACAACCTGTGAATATGCAGATACAACCTTGCTAGCTGGAAACAAAGAGGACTTAAAATACCTACTGATGAAGAACAAATATCACAGACTTCAGCATAGATTGCACCTCAGTGTAAAAAACAAAAATCTTCACAACTGAACCAATAAATAACTTCATTTTAAAAGGAGAAAAGACTGAAGTTGTCAAAGACTTCATTTTGCTCAGAACAGCCACCAACACTCATGGAAGCAGCAGTCAAGAAATCAAACGTACTGCATCAGGCAAATCTGCTGCATAAGACCTCTTTAAAGTGTTCAAAAGCAAAGATGTCAGTCTAAGGACTAAGGTGAGCCTGACCCAAGTCATGGTATTCTCAGTTTCCTCATATGCATGTGAAAGTTGGATAATGAATAAGGAAGACCACAGATGAATTGATGCATTTGAGTTATGGTGTTGGAGAATATAAAAAGTACCATGGACTACCAGAAGAACAAACAAATCTGTCTTGGAAGAAATATAGCTAGAATGCTCCTTAGAAGCAAAAATGTCAAGACTTTGTCTCTCATACTTTAGACATACTGCCAGGAAGGACCAGTCTCTGGAGAAGGACATCATGCTTATTAAGATGGAGGACCAGTGAAAAAAATGAAGACCCCCCCCCCAATGAGATGGATTGATACAGTGAATGCAGCAATGAAGGGTAATAAAAGTTGTGAGGATGGCACAGGGCTGGGCAGTGTTTTGTTCGGTTGTACATAGGGGCACTTTGAGTCAGAACTGCCTCAATGGCAATGAACAAGATTATAACGGCCCAAATTATGACTGTAAACTGGTTTACATGGACAAGGACCATGTTACTGAAAGAACAGGAAGTAAAAGTTACACTTTTTTTATACAAATTTTAAATAATACTTTTATTGAGATAGGATTCACATAACATAAAATTCACTCTTTTAAAGTGGTTTGTAGAATATTCATAGAATTGTACAACTAGCACCACTACTTAACAGCATTTTCATGCCTCTGAAAAGAAAGTCCACACCCAACAACAGCCATTTCTCCTCATTATCCCCTCACACAGTTGCTGGCAAACACTAACCTACTTCCTGTTGCTACTCTTACCATTCCATATAATAGGAAGGAACATTATATGATCTTTCGTGACTGGCTTCTTTCATTTAATATAATGTTTCCAAGGTTGACCCATTTGCAACATAGATCTATACTTCATCCATTTTTATTGCCAAATAATATTTCCGTTGTATGGATATACCATATTTGTTTATCCATTTATCACTTGATGGACATTTAGATTGTTTCCACTTTGAGACTATTATGAATAATGCTGCTATAAGCATTCATGTAGACGTTTTCGTGTAGACACAGGTTTTGAATTCTCTTGCATATATACTTAAGAGTACATACAAAATATATTTCAAATTTAAATGACACTGTAAAAATAAAGGAGGAAGCTCTTTCTTGTGTTGATATGAAAATATATTAAGTGCCTGGAATGTTGTTTTTTAAAGACAGAGCAAAAAAGAAGGTATTTTGTGTTTGCTAGTATATACAAAAGAAAAGTACCAGGGTAAATAAAGAAGAAATTAATAATCACAATCCAGTTTCTATTTTAGATGGTGGAAACTGGAAAATTGGAATCAAGAGAGAGAACCATTTGAATGTATTACCAATTCAAAACAAATAATAAATTTTAAAAGTTAAATAATATTTAAGTTTTTATAACTCTCTCTCTCGAAAAGTACTTTTTTGCCTCCAAGAAGATGACATTCATCAAAGACTAGTGCCAACTTCTTTAGACTCTAAATGGGAAACTTCACTGGACTTTATTGGACCTCAGCACAGTCGTGCCAGCTCTGGGCTGTTCTTCTATCACCCTGAGCCTGACCTTCCTCATTTGTAAAACAGAAATAACACCACATTCCTGTCAAGTCTATTGAAGCAGATAATGAAACAATATCTGTGAAGCATCTAGCACAGTGTCTGAAGTTGCAAAATATAGGGAAACATTATTGCTATCATCTTAAAGGGGAAAAATAAAACGGACAGACATGGATATAAAAGAAAGTAATTTAGAAATCACTGTAAATTGAATCAAAAGTTAGCAACATTACATAATTGTCTACCAGTTTATTATGATTCAATTAAATAGAGCAGATCCATATTGTTGTTGTTGTTAAGTGCCATTAAGTTGCTGTTGACTCACAGCAACCCTGTATAGGGTTTCCAAGAAGTGGCTGGTGAGTTTGAACCACCAACCTTGCTGTCCAGTGCTTTATCCCACAGCGCCTGTAACATAATTTGGCTGTAACAAGAAAGGAAGTACTAACACATGCTACAACATGGTGAAACTTGAAAATATGTTAAGTGAAATCAGCCAGTCACAAAGAACACATAATAAAGTATTCCATTTGTATGAAACATCCAGAATAGGAATCCATAGAGGCAGAAAGTAGAATGGTGGTGGCCTCAAGCTCACAATCTCAGTGGGTCCCTCAATGAGCTCACAGCATAGTCACACATGTAAAGCCCTAAGTGAATGCAAAAAGTCCTGAGAATACAAAAAAACAAAAAACAAAAACAAAGACGGAGAGCAATGAATTCTGACTTAGGTAAGTTGGAAACATTTTATTGGGCTTTCAAGAATCAGCAGCTCTGGCAGAGGAGATAATAAAGCATTATGGGCAAAAGCAAAGATTCAAAAAGATTTGAAGACTTTTGGGGCACACTCAATTCATAGCTGTGTTTGGATATAGTATAAACCAATATAGAAATGAAGCCAACAGTAAACTGTGGCTAATATCTTTTCAAAGGGTAATGAGTCTTCTTAAATAAAGCCTTAAGAAATAACCACATGATCATAAGAAGCATGTTTACATGGCAAATATTCCTTCATTTCCCTCTTCACCAACTACTAACCATCAAGTCCTATGTGGCTAAATTAGATACCCACACATCTGAACAAATGGTAGCTAAACACTTAAGTAGTAGAGTTAGCATGATCCTCAATAAACATCCCTCTCACTTTAAAGGAACAGAACTCTCAGACAGTACACCTTGCTTTACCTCCAACCCATTCAGGATTCAGTCACTGTTCTCTAAGAGGAAACTAAGAAGAAAGGTAAAAAAGCATAGGGCTCTGTGATACAGGGATGGAGGCATAGTCTGAAGAGGGGAAACAATACTAAGATGCTTGACTGTCTTATGAATATTGGTTTCCCTTGCCTATTATTGTAAAATAGACACTTGAGTAGGATAGAAAGGAATGTTGGGAAACATGATTATAGAAAGCTTGTAAGCTCATCTTTAGCATATAACTGATTGGAATACCTAAAAAGCCAGTGAAATAGGCCTCTTGCTGAGCCTTTGCAGTGTATAGGACCTTAGGTGGAATCCTGAGCCCCATCCAGAACTTTATGAGGTGGGACATTCCCAATAGAAAGGACAAGCAGACCAGACTGGCAAAGCTAGAACAACAGAAGACACATCTTCAAAGAAAGATCAGCAGGAAAAAAACAAAACAAAAATGGCAGTATGATTGGCTACTACAAGAATAAGCAAGTTGTTCACTGGGAAGCCATCAAGGCAAGCAATCAAGTCCCTTCAGGACAAACAACACCACCCCAAGGCTGAAACTCAAAGGGAACACATGAGCAGGCATACAAACTTGCTGGCGACCACATTGGTCTACTGGTGAGTGGAAGAGGGGTAAAGACAGCAATGAAAAAAATGGGCTGAGTTCAACCATGTTCCATAGGCACCCATTGACCTGGAGAGAAGAGAGAGAAGAGGAAAAGCTGATTGGTCCAATATGTGATGAGACCTGGGTACACCTGAGCCCAAGGACACAGAGGCCTAGAGCTGAGAGTGAAGCATCCAGCTGATATGAAGTGAAGGGAGACACACAAGAACATCCAAACTTACAGATAGTACCCATTTGACCCAGGCTTGATGGTTTGATCATCAGAACTTGACTAGAGGAAGATAAAAATTAAAAAAAAAAAAAAAAATTTTTTTGATAAAGGAAACGAGGATAAATCGCTACAATTTGCTGAATTTGACCTAAACTCATGGATGTAGTAACTCAAAATACCAACTGAGAGGGAAGGAGTTTTCACATCAAGTATCAATGCTATTCCCTCTATATACAGGGTAGATAGGGACAGGCAACTTAGACATTTGTTGTTGTTGTTATGTACCGTGGAGTCAGTTCTGACTCATAGTGATCCTGTATAGGGTTTCCAAGGCTGTAAATCTTTATGGGAGCAGAAAGCCTTATCTTTCTCCCGTGGAACAGCTGGTAGTTTTGAACTACTGACCTTGCGGTTCACAGACCGATTCATAACCACTATGCTACCAGAGTTCATAGGCTATCTAAAATGAGGGGGCGATAAAGACACGAAGTAACTGGCTTACAAGGTTTCAAGAGGGAGTTTGGTTTAAGAGTGTGTGTGGGAAGATTTGAGTCCCCACCGGATAGTTTTCATCTTGTCTAGAGGTGTCTGGTAAGATTCTTCTGATTCAGTAGTGAGTAATTGTTATCATTAACTAATTGTGACTGTCACAATTGTAAAGGTGGAAGTTTTGTAACAAAAACAGGGATTTAGTTAATCTTACAGTCCAGAAACAGAGGACCCTAGGACTATCAAGGGAGAAAAACACAAGCGGAATGCGGAACCCTATCCAGAGAAGCAGCGACACCAGAGATGGAGGCAGAGCTGGGGACATGGAGAGAGGGAGCATCTGAGAACTCTAGACTCATGGAAAGAGAGGGACAGAGAGCTGGTAGCCAAGAGGAACGCTTGCAGAATGTGCCCTTTGGTGGTTTAAATTATTATATATGCCTGAGTGTTTAAAATAAAAAAGGAGCTAAAATGAATTGAGAAAATAGTGTTAACTGATGGTACAAGAAGGGGATTATAATCATTTTAATGAAACAAAGTAAATGATTTGTTGAATGTAAAACTGATGATCTGCCCTGTAAACTTTCACTCAATTCATAATAAAAACTTTTCTTTAAAAAAAGCTATTAGGATTTCTTGGCCACATCGTATACTCCTGTTATGGAATCCTGGGAGTCTTGTTGTGACGCTGTGGGTTAATGCATCAGACTGCAGAGCCATTTGAACTACAAGGTCAGTGGTTCAAGCTCACCAGCTGCTCCTCGGAAACCCTATACAGGGTCGCTATGGGTCAGAACCAATTCGACAGACTTAAGAACAACGATGGAATTCTGATTTGGTGGTGGGTTAAGGTTCTGGACTGCAAAGTGGGTTTGAACTGCAAGTTTGGCAATTCAAGCTCACTAGTTGCTCCTTGAAAACCCTACACAAGGAAGCTATGGGTTGCAACCAACTTAATGGCACTTAACAACAACATCATTAGGACTTATGTGAGCAGAACTTCTCCATCTTGATGCAAATCAATTACCTAACGTCTTAGTCAAATACTTAGGATTAAGTAAATTGTACTATATATTCTATTGACCTATAATTGGAGGCCAGATTCTGCTGCATGCTCACACAAGGAATAAAGCTGACTGGGTTTCTGCTGCAACAACACCTAGAAGCATATGATGACAGGCACCTCTGCTTTAGCAGATGAAGTAACAACAGTGGCTCCAGCTTATATTTATGCAGAGTCTTTCTCCATGGAGACTTAGGATGCTTTGTAACCTCTGTTTAACTTCTCCTAGTCCTCAATTCAATCCACATAAGACTAAGAGGTAAGAAGTAACACTGTATTTTACAGGGATGGGGGGCAAAACAGATATAGAGAAAAAGTCTGGCAAATACAGGTCTAAAACCTAGCTCCTAACCAGGCATTGGCAATTCTTTTACATTACTGAAAGGGAAGGGAGAGTGGAAAATCCGAATGGGGCATGCCTGCCGGGCAGAACCAGGAATGGAGTGAACGCAGGCCTGTTCCTTCAATTTGAAGACAGCAGAGGGAATATGGGGTAGGGTGCCATACTAAAAAATCAATCTTAGTTCTTACAGATCCCAGAATAACCAGGAATTTGAGGATGATCAGCCAGACTGAACTATCTCAGATCAAGTAATGGACAGTACTTACTAAACAGTATAATAGGGAAAAAAGGATTCCATGCTCTAATATTCTGGAGAAGCACTAGGTAAATAAGACTACTTTTCATTACTATGAAGTCACTGGGATCCCAAAGAGGGGAAAGAGATTATGTGGCATTTCTAAAAGCAAATTCACAGCAGGGCTATCCTCCCTATTCACAACAACCCAGAGGAAGTTTCTAGAATCTTGGAGACTACTGCATGACAGAATGCAAATTCAATGCTGGATTTAAACTCAGGGACTTCATCAGAAGGTGAGTCAGCTACAGAGACAGAACTCCCACATGGAGACTTCAGCGAAGAGAAACAGGATGAACTGAGTACCTGCAGGTCGTGGTCTCTGTAGTTATCCTGCTGTACCATTTCTAAAAGGTTCAGAGCCAACTGCTGTCTAGAGGGGCCTTCTTCATCCACGAATATACAGTCTTCCAAGGCAGTTGAGGATAAAATCTGCAGGATCGGCATTACAAGCAGCAGGGATGACTTTGGAATTTTCTGGCCCTCGGCATAAGAGAGGAGCTTCAAAGCTATTAAGAAAAGTAACAGTAATTTAGGGTTTTCAAAATCATGCCACAATCAAACAAAATACTATCTTAAGAAAGATAAACTTAAGGATTTTCTTGTCCCTTTACGACTAGGTGAGACATATAACTAAAATGATAAATTGTATCCTTTGTGCTGAAAAAGGATCATGAACAATAACTATTTCTCCAGAAGAAGGTATTAACAGATTTATAACTGAAAACTTAGTGATCCTGTTGGAGAACATGCATATCATATAACATGCATATGACATGCATATCATGTATTCATTAAGTACAAGCCAATCCTCTTTTAGAACAATATGATTTTTTTTTAAAGTAATACAACGATACTTTTGTCCTTTATATGCTATCAGACCCTACTACTGCCCATAGCACATAGAGTCAAGAGTCCACAGAGTAGCCAACAGACCACTGCCTGATCAGCAAGTAACAATATTAACACATAAGGGGGCTGCAAAAAAGATGAGGGGACAATGGAATGAAAAGATAATATAATTTTTCCATGAACTTTTGAAGCCCTGACACATGCTCCTAAGAACTGAATTAGCACATGATTAAGTAATCAGTAAACTGAATCAAAGGAGCACTGGTGACATAGTGATCAGGCACTTGGCTGCTAACTGAAAAGTCAGTGGGTCAAACCTCAGGGGAGAAGACCTCGTGATCTGCTCCTGCAAAGACTGCCAGTGGTGTTAAGTGCCAATGAGTTGTTCTGACTTCTAATGACACTATATAGGGTTTTCTGTGGAGTCCTGGGGTGGCACTGTGGGTTAATGTGCAGGACTGCAAAGTCAGTTTGAAATGCAAGGTTGCTATGGGTCAGAACTGACTCAACGGTTCTTAACAACAACAACATAGGGTTTCCAAGGCTATAAATTTTTGTGGGAGCAAAAAGCCTCCTCTAACTCCCTCTGAGAGGCTGGTGAACTCTAACCACTGATATTGTGGTTTGATGTCTAGTGCTTATCCTATAGAGCCACCGTACTTCCCTAGGAAGCCCTATGGGGCAGTACTACTTTCTCCTATATAGTTGCTATGAGTTGACAGCATACAACAATAAGATGAAGCAGGAATGTGGTTCAGCTGTAACTGCACAACAGATCTAAAAAATTTCAAACTCCATCCTCAACATAATAAGTCACTTTTAACAAATGACTTCTTTAACCTTGACATTCAACTTATGCATCAGAGACACAGAGATAAACATACAATAATTCAGTTACATGCATGTATAGTCTCTCCTACACTACGAAAAAGCTGAGATAAAGTCATAACTCTATTTTTGTATGGTTACTGGAAAAACCCTGACGTAGACCAGTCATAGGATTCAGAGTTGTGATATCAAATAAATGCATCCCCCAACTTCCACCAAAAATGGTCTACATGCCAATTTCACATCATTTAGAAATAAAGCCTTAAATGGTGTGAAGTACAAACACCTGTTATTCTAACACTCCTTATCTACCTTTTTGTCTTCATCTGTAATTGTCTATGAAATGTCACAAGAATACATTATTCTTACTAAAACAGAGAAAGTGTACAGCACAAATATTTCTACATTCTGTATTATAAACCTCTGAAGCACTTTTAATCAGTTACTATTTATAGTCAAGGCAATTTTTAATCGTTAAGAAACACGATACTGTATTAATGCTGTATTTTTTTAAATCTGAAATAATATTCTCTTAGAACAAGTTACTCTCATTTTGAACACACTTTCCCAATGTACTAAACAATAGTTCTTCCTTGCTTTTCAAAATGACACACTGGGGTTCAATAGTTTTCAAAATGGTTTACACACTCTAATTAGGGTAACTTCTAATCAGAAACCCTGGTTTACAGGAGAAAGGCTAAGCCAGCTGGCCCAGTAGTTAGTAAAGTCTCTGAGAACCTGATCCTGTATTAGCCATCTATTATATATTGTCATTGTTGTTAAGTGCTGTAGTGTTGGTTTCAACTCTGTATAGGGTTTCAGAGGTTTTCAGTCTTCACAGGAGCAGAAGGTCTCTAGATAAGCCACAATAAAAAGTGCAGCTTCAGAATTAGACATGAGCTTTCTCTAGGTTGTGAAATTTTTTGTTAAAAAAAAAAAAAAAGTTAACATCCATTTATATGTAATGTCCAGAAAAAGCAAATCAATGGAACCAAAAAGTAAATTAACGTTTTTCTGGGTTTGAGGATGGGAATGGGGACTGACTGCAAACAGGCACAAGGGAACTTTGGGGGCTGACAGAATGTTCTAAAACTGGGCTATGGTGATGGTTTCATAACTCCCTAAATTTACTAAAAACACTTAAGTGTATATTTTTAAACAGTGGATTTTCAAAATGCCAGTTATACCATAATAAAAGTATTATTTACAAAATGATAAGTGGCTGGCAAAGGCTATTAGAAGTTGTAGCACTGGTAGGTTATACCTGTGGGAGGTGGTCACATGCACAGCTATGAGGAAAAGCAAAGCAAAAGCAGTTCCGAAAGGAACTAGGGATGAGGGGCACAAAGGAGCCCAAGTTAGAATTAAAAAAGAGCAAAGTTAGAATCAAAACCTAAGTCCTGGTGTGGTGCTGTACGATAAGTACTAGACTGCTAACCACAAGGACAACGGTTCACACTCATCAGCTGTGCCTTAGAAACCCTATATGGAGTCACTATTTGTCAGAATGAACTCAACGGCACTTAACTAACACCACCAAGAACCAAGGATCTCCTCTGTGTGCTACAGCCATTTCCAAGGCCTACTGTAAGCAGAAGAACAACCCACTCTCAAATCATGATGAGGTAAAATGTCCAAAAAAATGAACTATACAATCAATATTTACCTCAAGCACTTCTTTAAAACTGTGGGTGAGAAGTTATCAATGCACCCTGGCACCATACATTATACTCTAGACAGATACTGTGAAACTGTAGGCATACATCGGAGAGTCTGTGGGCTCTCTGCAATAAATCCAGTATGCCAATAAAGCAAGTCACACAAATTTGTTACTTTCCCCGTAACAAATTAAAATTTGGCAAGCCTGGTGATCCTATACAATAAACCAAAAGGTCGTCAGTTTGAGCCCACCAGTCACTCCACAGGACAAAGATGAAGCTTTCTGATCCTGCAAAGATGTACAGCCTTGGAAATTCTATTGTGGGTCGCTATAATACATTGGACCAGACGCAACAGCACTTACAAAAAACAACAACATAAAAGTCAAGCTTACACTATACTGTAGTCTATTACAGTGTGCTTGGTATATTTGAGTGTCAATGAAAAAGGAAGGCCCTCAACAGATGGACTGATACAGCGGCTGCAACAGGGAGCTCAAACACAGTAACAATCGTGTGGACGGTGGAGTACCAGGCAGTGATCTGTTCTGTTGTACACAGAATGCTACAAATCAGAAGTAACTCCATAGCACCTAACAACAACAACTGCTATGGAAGAAGTTTGAAATACTGTGAAAATTACCAAAATGCAACGCAGAAATACACAGTGAACACACACTGCTGGAAAACAATGGCACTAATAAATTTGCTGGAACTCAGAGTTGCCACAAACCATTTAAATGATTAAATAATGACGTGTCTGAAAAATGCACTAAAATGAGGCATGGCTGTCAGGGTATTATACTGGGCCAGGTAAAGTGAAGCAGCATTAATGTAAAGGTCACATGTTAAAGGTGTGAGTTGATTGCCAATCTAGCAACTTGATTCTTTATTACAGTATTCTTAACTGGAACAGTTTTGCCTGCAATAAAGCCAGTATGGCAATAAAGCAAGTCACACAAATTTGTTACTTCCCCCATAACAAATTAAAATTTGGCAAGCCTGGTGGTCCTATACAATAAACACTGGACTACCAACCACCAGGTCGGCAGTTTGAGCCCACCAGTCACTCCACAGGACAAAGATGAGGCTTTCTATTGTGGGTCGCTATAATAAGTTGGACCAGACTCAAGAGCATGTAACAAAAACAACAACATAAAAGTCAAGTTTCCACTATACTGTATGCCTTCACCCACTTTTCTTTAAATCAATACTGGAATAGCCAGAAAAATGTTCTTTCATTTTATTTATCTAAACTAATACAATAACCACAAATTAAATTTTGGTCAATGTGATGGCCAGTTTTGAACAGAAAAGTTTAGAAAAACAAGGAAAGCCTAAATAGTTATTTTATCTCACAAGTTCATGCTACTGTTTCTCAGATTTCAGTATAACCATGAACAAACCAATATGCCCTTCAATATATTTACAAACGCCTCTGCAATCTGATGTAGATTATGAGCTTCTAATGTAAAGTTGGAACATTTGGTAAATTGTGATATATAAAACCTTGCACAAGTAATAACTGGGTGGACAAGAAAAAATATATATACTTGGTAATGACTACCTAGAAAAATTCTAGAACAGAAACTCAAACTATCCAGCATTTCACAGTGTACCATAACACTCAGGTTATAGTTACATTTTAATCTAGTGAGTACGTTTTTATTTACCTAGATTTAAGATTGGCTTCTGTTGACTTGCTGGAGTCTGCAGAAGAAGCAAAGCTATTCCAACTATGACCAGTTCAACAGGAAAGTCCTGAAAGAAACAAATAAAGACAAAGAGTTACTGAAAAATTCCCAGCGCCATGGCTTTCTAATATATATCTAGTTAGAACGTACATAACATAAAAGATTATAAACTACTATACAAGATTAAGGAGCTCTGGTAGCGTGGTGGTTACAAATCGGGCTGCTAACCTCAAGGTAGGCAGTTCAAAACTACCAGCTGTTCTATGGAAGAAAGATGAGGCTTTCTGCTCCCGTAAAGATTTACAGCCTCAGAAACCCTGTGCAGGGTCACTATGACTTGGAACCAACTCCACAGTACTTAACAACAACAACAACAACAACATACCAGATTATTTACAGTAAGCACTATCTACTAAAGGAAGAATTGGTGAATATCATAGCAGAGCTCTGGTAGTGTACGGGTTGAGCTGCTAATGGGTTCGGCTGCTAACCTCAAGGTCAGCAGTTCAAAACTACCAGCTGTTCCACAACAGAAAGATGAGACTTTCTGCTCCGGTAGAGATTTACAGCTTCCCCTATGCACGGTCACACTAAGTTGGAACCGACTCCATGACACACCACCATCACAGTGGTCACATATAAACTCAAAATGTTATCACACCCTCTGGGCAAAAAGCAATAGGCTTTTTAAACCAAAACAATTGAGAGAAAATTCATTATATAAACAAGTTCAAAACAATTAAATTTTACAAGTCACTGATAATTACCAGAAATATTTTATTTAAAAATATTTTATTTCTTAATAGTAGCTCAATTGTGAACTCACCTAATTTAGACATCATTCATTTATATAACTTGGATAATGACTTACACAAGATAAATGTTAATAAATCATGTTATTATAATAAAAGAAACATTAGCACCCAAGGAAGCTGAGATTATTTTTAAATTACAGTAATTTATTAAGCATATTTTAAACAGAACAAAGCAATAAGCAGAGAAACTTAAAATAATTCATTTCACCAAGTATATAAATAAAATTAAAAACAAACAATAAAGAAGGGCATGTACATTAAATTCTAATAAATAAAATTCAAGTAACATCATATATCATTTACCGTTTCCAAGTAAACAAACAGGAAATATAAAATCCACTGCCACTGAATCGAGTGTGACTCAGAGTGACCCACAGGACAGAGCAGAATAGCTCTTTAGGGTTTCTGACACGGTAAATCTTTCAGGGGCAGATAGCCTCATTTTTTCCCCAAGGAGCAGTTGTTGGAATTGAACCTCCGACCTTATGGTTAAAATCCCTACAGTTAACCCACTATGCCACCAAGCCGCCTCAAAATAAAGAACATCTTAATATATTATGCAACTAAAGGAGAAAGGAGTCCTGGTATGGCGCTGTAGTTGAGCGGTACATTGCAAGGTTGGTTTGAACCTCAAGGTCGGTGGCCCAAACCTTGGAAATTCTATACAGGGTTGCTAAGAGTTGAAACTGACTCTACAGCACTTAACAACAACATACATTGCTAAAATTACTTCCTCCTGAAATTTTACAGAAGCATGTCCAGAGCAGTAGTACTTAGGAATCATAAAGAGAAAGAAAATCTGTAAGGTAGACCCATATGATTGAAAAACTCATGCAAGAAAACAATTTGGTCTGACACACAGGAAATAGTAATTTTAGTCCTGGTGTGGTGCTGTAGGATAAGCTCTTGACCACAAGGTTGGTTTGAACTGCAAGGTCAGTGGTTCAAACTCACCAGCTGCTCCTCGGAAACCCTATACAGGGTCGCTATGAGTAGGAAACGACTCCACAGCACTTAACAACAACAACAATCAACTCTGGCCCAAATTAATAAATATTCTTTATCACATTATTTAGTATATATCTCTCCTTTACCTCTTAAAAAGGGCAAAAATCATCTTCTTTGCTTTTATCATGGACAATTTAAAAAATGCAAAAACACACTGATCACAATAGCTAAAAGGTGGAAACAGCCTAAGGAATGACTAACCATCCATATCCCTCTTGACCTTGGTGATGCTGGTAGTGTTTGTGTGCCTGAAGTCAATTCCAACTCATAGCGACTCTGAATAGGGTTTTGGAAGCAGTAAATCTTTACAGAAGCAACCAAGAGATGGGAGATGAACAAGAGCATTACTGAACACTAACAGTACCACTAGGAGCTCTTTTCACAAAGAATATCACTGGAAGATTCACAAAGTAGCTTTATAGGTGTCCTGAAAATGAATAGAAGCATTTTAAGTATATGGAACTTAAAGATATGGAGGTATGAATGGAAAATGGAACTCTTCAGGAAAGATGAAAAGACTGGCCTGTTCATGATAGAAGTTGAAAGAAAGAATTAGATACCAAGATATTAAAAATTAAGATAAGCAACAGTGGACGAATAGAATAATGAATCTTGAGTTGCTCACAATTCTGAGAGGGAACAAGTGTCTTTAGTTTGTTTGTTAACGGACACCAAAGGATCTTTTTGTTGTTAGATGCTTAGAGTTAGTTCCAACTCATAGAGACCTTATGCACAACAGAATGAAACACTTTCCTAATTTTAAACCATTCAGTATTCCCTTGTTCAATTTGAACAACTGCCTCTTGGTCTATGTACAGGTTCCTCATGAGCACAATTTACTGTTCTGGAATACTCATATTTTGCAAACTTGTCCATAGTTTCTCATGATCCACACAACTGAAAGAGTTTTCATAGTCCATAAAGCACAGGTAAACATATTTCTGGTATTCTATGCTTTCAGCCAAGATCCATCTAACATTAACAACGATATTCCTCATTTCACACCGTCTTCTGAAACCAACTTGAATCTCTGGAAGTTCACCACTAATGTATGCTTGCAGCCATTTTTTTATTATCTTTAGTAAAACTGTACTGGCATGGGATATCATTGGTGAGTAACGACTGGAGTCGTAAAAGCTTGCAAACAGCCATCTAAAGTGCAACTAACTATTGGTCTTTCTCTGTCTTGAGCAAAGAAAATCAAAGATGCATGGAAACAATTAATCCAAAGGGCTAATGGACCACAAGAATCTCAGCTTTCACAATCAAGACCAGAGAACTACATGGTACCCAAATGCCATTGCTGACCATTATGAAAGGGTCACAATTGAGGATTCTGGATAGAATGGGATAAAAATGTGAAACAAAACTTCAAATCATAAAAATGATCAGGCTTATTGGTTACACAGAGACTGGCAGAACTCCCAAAACTATGGTTCTTAGTCACTTTTCAGACCTACAACTGAATTCACCTCCACGGCTCAACTTTCAGCCAAATTATTGACCAGCTAAACAATAACACCAGGAAGGTAAACACTCCTTAGGACAATCAATCATACACAATTAAAAAGGTGCCATTTGCCAAAGGATGAAGTTCTGAAGGCAAGAATGGATAGGAAAGGAGACTAAATGGAAACAGTAAACACGAGAAGAAAGTGAGAAGAGTTCTGCTACATTGTGGGCCTGTAATCAACGTCATGAAATAAAATGTGGATGAATTAAATGTTAAATGGAAAATCAATTTTTTCTATAAACTATCACTTGAATCACAATAAAAAACCTTACCTCCTTCAGAAATTCAGCACCGCGCTCTACAAGGTGAATAAGAGATGAGCATTCTCCAGTTTTGTGTAAACTGACTTCACAAATACAGAGCAGCTGCAGGGTCATCTGAGTAAGCTGAATGTTCCAGAAGATGGGGTGATGCAAGAGGTTTAAATATACTTCCTCAATAAACAGCATCACTTCTGTTGTCTGTATCAAATCTTTTATCTGTTTTTTTAAAAAAATATTTTATAACTTTACAATAGCATACAAACCAGAGGACAATTTTAAGCTACACAGAAGCTTTTGAAAATAAAAAAATTTTCTCTAAATCGACAGACTTAAAAGTGATGAAAAAGTTACATAACTCATTGACAGTTAAACCATACAACTCTGCTCTCTTCTTTTGTCACTAGCCAAAATACAATTTGTTGCTGTTTTTGTTACTGCTAACTGGCACCAATTCTTTTCGTTTATTTTTCTAGCTTGTCTGTGTGCAAATGTCTTAAGACAAACTACATGGTAATGTTAACATGTTGAAGGACATCCATTAAAGCTGTTTTGGAACTCTCTAAGTAAACTCTACTTTCTCTAATACCAGCATAGGCACCTGATAGTCAAGGGTCAGCATGTTAGTCTAATGCATAAGCATAGACAAGACATTTGCTCAAACAGCCTTAACTGAGAGCATCATTTCCATAGTTGGCAGATGTAATGAAAGATTATGTGCAAATGGTAGGGTGTCTTCTCAACAGGCTAATGTATTAGACAGGAAGGACTATGGTGCTCTTGAAAATCCCAACTCAATTGAAACCCAGCTGTTCTGATCAAAACTCCAGTTGTTGTTGTTAAGTCCTGTCGAGTCAGTTGCGACTCATAGTGACCCTGTATAGGGTTTCTGAGGAGTGGCTGGTGAGCTTGAACCCTGACCTTGCAGTTCAAACTGACCTTGCAGACCAGCGCATTAACCCGCAGCACCACACCAGGACTCCATTAAGAATATGGTCCAGCTCTCAGTCACACTGGCATTTCCCAGAGACTACAAACAATGAACCATCTGCTTCAATCAGGAGCCTTGGGTCTGTTAAATTTATCAAAGGGAAGCCCATGGTTGTTTGCTTGTACCTTTCACCAGTGATTACCACCACAATGTCCCAAAATGACCTTAAGTTATACACAGAGAAAAAATCAATTCCTAGCAAATAAAAGGGGAAAATATATTAAAAGATCAAAGGGGAGGAAATGGTAGAGCATATTAAGTAAGAAAAAAAATAAGTGTGAACAGTTCAGTAACTCAGTTATTTTTCTGTTTTACAAACACGCAGTAGAAAAGTCAAAAGGCCACCAAGAAATCAAAGGGATTTAAAATGAAGGGAAGCCTCACATATGTTTGGCAACATATTTCTTTGATTTGGGAATTAACTTTTTAGGTAAAGTTAGGACTGTCTCCCCAATAGTATGTTCTCTTTAAAAATATTTTCTCAAAGGTTAGAGTTTCATATTATACCAAAAACAAACAAACAAACAAACAAAAAAACCCAAAATACTATACTGATCAAAGAAGAAAGGGTATTCACTCACACCCAACCTTGACAATATTAAAACAAAAACACTATAATGCATTACTTCCATTGATCCTTTACTAAAAACACTTTGATCTTTTGTTGTTCATGAAAATGTGGTTTTCAACACTAATAAAATGCAAGTTTATTTAGTTATGACTCTCTAATGCAGATCCATTTTTAAATAAGGAGGCAAGACTTGAGGAGAGGAGACAATGGGTATATCTGAAAACTAGATAACCAGATTGTGGTGATGATCCTACAAAACCTTGAAAGGACTTTAAATTAGAATGAGTGAACTTCACATTAGGCAAATTTTAACTCAATGAAACTGCTTCTCTTTTTCATAGACAGGAATGTGCTCCTATGTGTGTACCCACTGCCAATGAGGCAGTTCTAATTACAGCAAGTCTACATAGGGTTTCAGATTGCACATTTCTACAGAAGCACACGGCTTCATCCTTTTCCAACAGGCAGCTGTGTGGTCAGCAGTCCAGCATTTCTCCTATAGCACCACCAGTACTGTAGTTAATATCAGAAGTGACATATATTCTGCATTTCTCAGGAAATCTGTACTGTCCTTTCAAAGGAAAAATTTGTCAACACAAAATTCACACTGGACAAAATGCAGATAGCTGTTAAAGTGAAGTGATGAGTACATTTATGAGGTTCATATCTAAAATGTTCAAAAAAATAAAACAAAATAAAAACTTGATAAACACTGCCTGATATTTGGTATCACCAAAATCCTTAATAAGAGTATTTTTGAAGAAATGGTGTAGCTTTACACAGAAATCTATCATGTACTTGCATAATGGATAATGCATGAGAGCGCAGGGGTCATAATTTAAAAAGAAGGAACTATTGGAGCTAAAGCCAATAGAATGATCTTTAAGACAGGTAAGTTAAAAACAGACAACGAACAAACATAAATGGAAGAACAATTGGTGTGTGAAGGGGGAAAAAAAGTAGTTTTCATTGACTACAGTCAGCATAGATCACAGAGGGGTGTGACTATTTCTACAAATCAAAACCAAAGTAGTGTAAATGTGACTGTTTTGCAGAACTCAGTCTGAAGCCACCATCGATAGAGAAGTGCACTCAGCCGTGAGAGGACTATTTCATGACAGTTCCCGCTGTGAACCAATACACTAGACCACTCCTGGCATGGGACAGTGAGAGGTCTACACACCACTGCCCACGGAGAAGTCAGTTCAATCAGGAAGAGGGAAAGGAGAGAAAGAAAGGAAAACAAGACAGGATGCAACTGCATTTGTAAGAAGTGTATTTCATTTTGTTTTGCAAAGAACAGAGACTAACTGGTAGAGTCCTAAGAAAATGCAGGTCAATAGGATTTTTTTAAAGTCATAGAAATGGCTGCCTTGCAAAATAGTTTGCTTCCTATCACAGAAATATTTAGTCAGTTGTGAGATGATTGAATCTCACAATAATTAGAAAATATGGGTTCCTGGTGTGGCACTGTAGGGTAAGTTGTTGTTGTTGTTGTCAGGTGCCATCGAGTCGGAACCGACTCATAGCAACCCCATGCACAGCAGAACAAAACAATGCTCGATCCTGGGCCAACCTCACCACCGCTGCCACCCCCGAGTCCATCAATGATGCCACCTGGCCGATCCATCTCGTTGGGGGTCTTCCTCTTTTTCTCTGACCCTCCACCCTACCCAGCATGACATCTTTCTCCAATGATTGTTTCCTCCGGACTACATGTCCAAAGTAGGAGAGATGAAGCTTAGCCATCCTGGCCTCCAAGGAGCACTCTGGCTGCACTTCTTCCAAAACAGATCTATTGGTTCTTTTGGCAGTCCATGGCACCCTCAGTATTCTCCTCCAACACCACAACTCAAAGGCATCAATTCTTCTACGATCCTCCTTATTCACTGTCCAGCTTTCGCATCCATATGAGGCTATTGAAAACACAATGGCCTGGGTCAGGTGCACCCTAGTCCTCAAGCTGACATCTCTGCTCTTCAATACTTTAAAAAGTTCCTGTGCAGCAGATTTGCCCAGTGCAATACGTCGTCTGATCTCTTGACTGCTACTTCCGCGAGTGTTGATAGTTGATCCAAGAAGAATGAAGTCCTTGACAACTTCAATCTTTTCTCCATTGATAAGAATGTTGTTTATTGGTACAGTGGTGAGGATTTTTGTTTTCTTGACATTGAGATGTAATCCATATCGAAGGCTGTGCTCTTTAATCTTCATAAGTAAATGTTTCAAGTCCTCTTCACTTTCAGCAAGCAAGGTTGTATCATCTGCATATCACAGGTTGTTAATGAGTCTTCCTCCAATCCTGATGCCACGTTTTTCTTCATAGAACCCAGCTTCTCGTATTAGTTGCTCAGCATACAGGTTGAATAAGTATGGTGAAAGAATACAACCCTGTCTCACACCTTTCCCAATTTTAAAACATTCAGTGTTCCCATGTTCTGTTCGAACAACTGCTTCTTGGTCTAGGTACAGATTTCTTAGAAGTACAATTAAGTGTTCTGGAATACTCATACTTCTCAATGTTGTCCATAGCTTGTCATGATCCACACAATCGAAAGCCTTTGTGTAGTCAATAAAGGACAGGTAAACATCCTTCTGATATTCTCTGCTTTCAGCCAAGATCCATCGGACATCAGCAATGATATCTCTCGTTCCACGGCCTCTTCTGAATCCAGCTTGAACCTCTGGAAGTTCTCTGTCAATGTATGATTGTAGCCGTTTCTGTATTACCTTTAGCAAAACTTTACTCACTTGAGATATCAAAGAGATTGTCCGATGATTTCCACATTCCGTTGGGTCACCTCTCTTTGGAATGGGCACAAATTGCAAAGTTGGCAGCTCAAACCCACCAGTTACTCCCAGGAAACCGTATTCAGGTTCACTATGAGTTGGAACCAATTCGATGGTCTTTAACAACATTAGAAAATATAAGAACTCCCTATAGTAGGAGATTATAGAATTTCCTAGTGTGGTGCTGTGAGATAAAGCACTGGACACAAGGTCGGTTTGAACCACAAGGTTTGAACCACCAGTCGCTCCTTGGAAACCCTATATAGGGTCATTATGAGTCAGGACCAACTCCACAGTACTTAACAGCAAGGCTCCTACCAACTCTCAGATTCATTTTAACAAAGCTGATTTGTTAAGTGACTAAATATATTTAGGAGTCCTGGTATGGTACTATAGGTTAATGTGCTGGACTGCAAAGTTGGTTTGAACCGCAAGGTCAGTGGTTCGAGCTCACCAGTGGCTCCTCAGAAACCCTATACAGAGGGTCGCTATGGGTCGGAACCAACTTGACAGCACTTAATAAAGCAACAAATATTTATGTCACTAATTTCAACAGTTCCAAATTATATATTTATTGTCTTAATTATATTAGCAAGCCACGATTTTCAGAAATATTCCACAGATCTCATTTCTATAAATATTTAGACTTGTCAATAGAGTTCTATCCACACAGGCAAATAAATACTTACCTAAGAACACAGAATAGGCCTGATACCAAATGACACAACCTAGTTCAAGATATTCTGCCTATTCCATTGCTTTATTGCCCACACAAAACAAGAGCTTTATGAAATGACACAGACAATTTGTTTTCATGCACTTTTCTCTGACTTGATTACAGGAAAGGCCATTTATGAGGCACAAGGGAAAAGATTGACTCTAGTCTTTCGGTACTAAGGCAAACAGGTCATGTGTGACCTCAACTGATCACTTTGAAAAATACGCACATTCCTTCCATCAGCTAAGCAGCAAGGTGGTTAGATTCAAGTCTAACGACAAACCTTGATTATGGGATGGGACGGCATGATAAATGAGTCACTCCATTAAATCACAAAACACTGGCAACTGGAATTTTTTTTATTCTGTAATTATAGATATTTGATCAGCTTGTTCTCTTCTCTCAAGTTCCTCAACATTTTCTCAATACCTCTGTTCAACAACATTCATCCACCGACTCTGAATTAGAAAAATGTATATGCTTGTCCTAATTCCCTTACTAAAGTGTGGGCTTCTTAAGAGCAGGATCCATAGGGCCACCACCTATGTTGTAAGGGGACATGTGAGTCACTATCTAGCCAGAACTGAACTCCCCAACCCCTGTACCTCCAGGGCCCTATCTATCCGGAGGCACCCTTTTTTCTAATTTGTACAAATAGATGCATCTTTTTCTTGTAATTCTTACAATGTCTAGCATAGAAAATCTCAACTCAAAATTCTTTTCCCTTAAGTCTTTCTTATTGCATGAAGGAAAGTTTTCTTTCCTACTGGTTCCAAAATGAACTATGTTGCTTAGGTTTCTATGAAATTAGTTAACATTATATATATTAACATTAAATATAGATTTGAGTTTTATCTCCTTCAAAATATCACAAGCATTTCTAGAGCTACAACTGTTTCTGAGTTTTCCCCACCACTTAGGTACTTAACTACCTCACATAGGACAATGACAATCAACACTTACTAGTGCAGATGCTGATGCTAACATCAACAAAGGAGGATGAGAAGGCTCACCTGCAAACACGGAACCATGTCACAACACAGTTGAAGAATATGTTGTTCCAATACTGATGGTTGTTCTTTTTCACAAAGTATCCAGGGTTGAAGCAAGACTTTGAGCAGGGCTAGTCGAAGTTCAGCATACTCTTGTAACTGGGATGGTTCACAATATAGATACCACAGAAATGGTGCCATTATTTGGACACATGGAGTCTCTGACCTGCAATTCACACAGTGGTTAGCCATTTACCATGTGAAACACAGGACTAAGCAGATAAGTGACAAACATCAACTTCTACTTCATCGTATGCCATAAACTACGAAGGGGCTTCAAAGTTCATGGAAAAATGGAATGAAAAGATAACGTAATTTTTCTACAAACATTCTGAAGCCCCTTCGTACCATTACATACAATTTTTTTCTTTATTGTTCTATTCCACCTAAACCAGTGCCAAACAGTTCTTTGTGCATCAGTGAAAACCACTCAAGACTTACAGATCATAAGCCTGACGCCAAGACCAAGAAGGTCTCTAAACACTAGGCTAGCATCTACGGCTCCCCAACCAGTCCTTTTTAGTGAACATCGAGATCATCTGAGAACCTTTTCAGAGTTACAGATGTCAGGAGCCACTCTCCACAAGTATGACATCGGCAACCATTTTTGGAAAAACTCTATAGTGAAAATCTATATAAAACAAAGTCACACAATCACCCGAAGAGGATTAGGAGAATGGTGAACATTTACTCACTAACTTGTTAACCCTTAGTGTGTGCAAGTTATCACACTTTAAATCTTTAGATTCATATGATCACCACCACAATATTGTTCTTGTTGGGTGCCCTTGATCTCAGTCCAACTCACAACGACCTTATAGGACACAGTAGAACTTCTTCAGAGTTTTCTAAGCTGTAATTTTAATATACAAATTTATTGCTTTGATTGTTGATAAGAATATACCCATCAAAACACACACTCATCAACAGTTTCTGCATGTAGTTTAGTGACATTGATGACATTCTTCAGGTAACCATACTTATCCTCCTATTCCGAGCTGTGCCTCTTCTACTAACATTAATTCCCTTACCCATAAGGTTCCTATTTAATGTTTGGAATTTCTTTTGTCAATGGTGTTCTATAGTTACAGAGAGCATAATGCTCAAAGCAGACATGTTTTACTAGTTACACTAACCTATAACTAATGATTCATTTTAAGAAGATTTCAGGGGATATTTTTGTCTTAAGATTTAAAGATGATCTCAGGGCAATAGCTTCAAGGGTTCATCCAGTCTTATGGTTCCAAAAAGTCTGGGGTCCATGAGCACTAGAAATTTTGTTCTGCATTTTCCCCTTTTTGATCAAAATTCTGCTATAGAATCTTGGATCATAATGTTCAGCAACGGTAGTCAGACACCATTCAGTTCTTTTGGTCTCATGCAAAGAAGACAACTGATCATAGAGGCAATTAGCCACATATGCTACAGTCTCCTCCTAGTCCTGATTCTACTTCTTCCTCTGCTGTTCCAGAACAATAGAAAAATAATGTGTGTTATACGCCTACTTACAAGTTCTTAAGACCCCAGACACTATGCATAGAACTAGGAGATAAAACAGATGCTCTAAACACGTTGTTAAGTGCCGGCAAGTATGTTCCGACTCATAGCAACCCTGTAAAGGGATTCTGAGGAGCAGTGGTGGGTTTGAACTGCTGACTGTGTGGTTCACAGTCCAGTGCTGATCCTACAGCGCCACAACAGAAGTCCCTGAACATGTTACTAGGTCAATTAACTGGGATTTTCCATGAAACCATGTCCCTAAACTGCTTAACCAAGAAACCAAATTCCACAAGATTTCTGGATGTACAGCAGCTACTTTTTTTATGGTTGTTGTCACTGTTGTAATTTATCACACAACTTTTGTCAATTCAACTTTTTACAAGTGATAACTATTGACAACAATTATAGTAACTGGTTGTGCTACCCTACACTCAATCAAGGTGACATTTCCATCAACATTAACCCCACTCTTTCCTCCATCCCTTCCACCTCTGGTGGTGGTAGTGTACCGTGAAGCCATTTCTGACTCATAGGGACCTGCATAAGGTTTCCTAGGCTATAAATCTTCAGGGGAGTAGAAAGCCTCATCTTTCTCCCATGGAACGGATGGTAGTTTCGAACTGCTGACCTTAAGGTTAGCAGCCCGACTCATAACCACTACGCTACCAGAGCTCCTTCCCACCTCTGATAACCACTAACAATGTTTAGTCTCTATGCATTTATCTTGTGTTTTTATGTAAGTGAGTTCATATATTTCTCCTTCTGTGACTGATTTATTTCACTTAGCAGCTTGTGGCTTCATCCTTATTTTAGGAATGTGTTAAGACTTCACTTCTCTAACAAGATGAGTAGTATTCCATCCATTGTATATATATACCACATTTTGTTTATCCATTCATTTGCTGATAGGCATTTAAGCTGTTTCCACCTTTTGGCTATTGTAAATAGTGTCGCAATGAACATTGGTGTACAAATTTGTTTGAGTCTCTGCTTTCAAGTCATTTAAGCATATACCTAAGAGTGAAACTGCTAGGCCACATGAATCTGGTGCAGCACTCTAGGATAAGCACTAGACTACTAACCACAAGATCAGCAGTTCAAACCCACCAGCTGCTTGTCAAAAACTCTACCCAAGGTCACTCTGAGTTGGAACTCTTGATGCCATGTAACAATTGGTATTTTTTAGCTTTTAGTTTTTTCAGCAACCACTACACTGTTCTCCCCATAGGCTATAAGCATTATGAGAAGAGATCGCCAGGTCTTTTCTCCCATAGAGTGGCTAGTGTGTTCAAACTAGTGACCCTCTGATTGGCACCTTAGCACTTTAACCATTGTGCTACCAGGGTCCCTTAACATAACTGTTGTTGCTGTTGTTAAGTGTCATCGAGTCGGTTACGATTCATAGCGGCCCTATATAGGGTTTTCAAGGAGCAGCCAGTTGAGTTTAGACCAACTACCTTGTTGTCCAAACCAACTTTAAGGTCAAGTGCTAATCCTTAAAGTGTCACGCTAAGACTCCTATCATAATGGTGTTGTTGTTGTTGTTGTTAGGTTCCATCGAGTTGGTACTGACTCATAGTGACCTTATGCACAGCAGAACGAAACACTGCCTGATTCTGGGCCAGCCTCACTACTGTTGCCACGCTTGAGTCCACTGATGCTGCCACTTGGCCAATCCATCTCTCTGGGGGTCTTCCTCTTTTCCTCTGACCCTCCACCTTACCAAACATGATACCCTTCTCCAGTGACTGGTCCCGCCTGACAATATGTCCTAAGTTATGAGAGACGAAGTTTGGCCATCTTGGCCTCCAAGGAGCAGTCTGGCTGCACTTCTTCAGGATATAGGAAATAATGTTAGCCCCATTATGTAGACGTGGAATCTAAGGCAAAGAAAAACCCACTACCGTCGTGTTGATTCTAACTTACAGCAAACCCACTGTTGTATGTCATATAGTTACGATTCACAGTGACACTATATTGGCCATTCAAGGGGTGTTGGTGGGTTTGAACTGGTGACCTTTCAGTTACCAGAGTCCAGTGTTTATCCTAAAGCACCACATCAGGGTTAAATGGTAAATCTGCCCACAAGGTTTCCAAAACTGTAAATCTTTATGGGAGCAGACAGTTTCATCTCTCTCCAGAGGAATGGCAGACAAGTGTGAACTGCTGTCCTTGAGATTAGCAGACACAAAGAAAGGGTGGAGTAATTTGCCAAGGCTCCCTTTAAGCTCCTCCCACACAAGTGAGGAAGATTCTACAAATCTTTCATATCTATTCAGATTTCAATATAGCCCAATAACTCTTATCCAAAGTCAATCAGCTGGTTACAAGCTTCTCTAGACTTGTAAACCTCCTGTAGGAGAACATTGTCTAGAAATCCCATCTACAACAGAAGTTACAGACTCAGAAACAGAATCCTAAAAACAAAACAAAAAAACAATCTACAAGGCTTACCTTCAAGGGCAAGAACACATGAACATGGTTGGTGTGGTGTGTATAAGGCATTGCACTACTGAGAATAGCTGGCATCCTGTCAGGATCCTGCATGATGATGCTAAGTATGTAGAGATCTTGTATATTAGGAAGCACTGACTCCACAGCCCAGTGCCTGGCTCCTACTCATAAAGGCAACATTTTGGAGCCCTGAGAAACGTGCCAACTGTTATTAATACACAGAAAAATGAGCCACTGTCCTTGCCCTTAAGAAGGCTTCACAGTTCGTAAAGGTGTAATTATAAGACAATATTGATGTATTGGTGGTAACGGTGTTACAAATCACAAGTAGGAGAGACACCTAACGAACAAAGACTTTCTAGAGCAGAGAATACCGAAACAGAGATTGAAAATGGAGAAACGAGTCAGGAAGGAAGAGTGCAGAGAACAGGGTGAGTGGTGATTGAGCAAAAGCACAAATGGCAGTGCTTTCTGTGTGGAACCAAGTGCAAGTCAGTGTGCTGCCTGAGGATAAACTGTCAGATAAATCAGGGGCGATGCATCACATCCCTGACAGACTGTTAGCATGCTTTAGCATGATAGATTCGATATTATACTGTAGTCCACGGATTTTCAAGCTGTTTCAGAAACCAAATAATTTTTCCCAATACTAAGCTTCCATGAAAGATGCACCTGTGAGCACTGTGAACATAGAGCTGCTGGTTAGAAAGGGCGGAATGCTCCCCAGGCTTAGTCTGTAAATGGCAAATGCAGTTTGAAAGCCACAGTTGTGAGATTTAAGCAAGATTTGAACTCCTGATATATTCATTTGATGACTGTTTAGAGAATGGAGTTAAGCAGGACTAAATTGGAGGCCTAGACACCAGTTAGGAACCAGTGGTAACAACAAACACAGGAGATGATAAGGGGCTGAACCTGGGCCACCGTAGTCAGGGTGGAACACAGGGGTTCACTCTGAGAACAGTCAGGAGGTCTTCGGGAACTTAATATAACCTAACACAGGGAGCTATCTCATCCCAATTGGCAGTACTACTTGATCCCAATTGGCTGCATTGTAACAAAGAGATTAATGCACTAACCAATTCCCAGGGGGAGAAAGATATGTGGCCTGTTTACCAAATATTTGTAGTCAACTTGCCTAACTACTAACCAATGCTTAACTTCTTTAATAACACTTTTCTCAGATTCAATATTTCAACAGTCAATAAATCAGGAGGGTTTCTTTTTCCTCTTATGCTTACCAAAAATACAGAAAAAACATCTTGCCCTAAGATCTTTCTTTTCTTCATATGAAAACATCTTATGAGGAAGCTTCAAAAAATCCATGGAATAAGGGGAAGTGACCGAAGAACATCAATGAAGCGGCGAGCTAACCCCTACATTGTCCAGCAGACTACTGTGAACCCGGGTGGAGACCTGGTCAGCCAGCAGCAAGGCAGGACCTGGGGACTCATAGGTTCAGAGCCAAGGACACAACCACAGAGGACTAGAGTGGAGAGCGAAGTGGCCAGCTGATAAGAAGAGGGCGGACAGATGCAAGAACACCCACACTTGCAGATGATACCCACTTGACCTGGCTTCAATGACTGGATGAACAGAGCTCAACACGAAGAAGAAAGAAAAGGAAAAAGGCGTCATCTGATACAATTTGATAAACTTGACCTACACCCATAAATGCAGTAGCACAAAAGAGGAAACAAATCCCTGCTCCAAGAATTATTCCCACCCCCTCCACACAAAGAGTAGACAGGGATGGGCAACTTGGACATTGGCTACCCAAAATGGGGGGAGGGATATAAAGGTAAGAAGTGACTGGCTCACAAGCTTTCGAGAGGGAACCTAGATCCAAAGGGCATGGAAGAAGGTAGAGTCTCCAGTAAATAGTATCCAGCCTGTCCAGGAAGGGCTGATGAAATGAGATGCAGATGAGTCTCTTGTGATGTAATAGTGAAGAATTGTTATCAGGACTGATTGTGAGGGTTGGAAATGTAAAGGTGGAAATTTTAAAGCAAGGAGGGGAGTGATTAACTTTTCAGTCTAGGAGCGGAGGGCCCTGGGACCATCAGTGGAGAAGAGTGGAGAGTGGGACCCTACCCAGAGAAGCAGTGAGGCCTGAGAGGAAGGCAGAGAAGATGATGTGAAGATTTGGAGTGGCTGGGGACTTGAGATCCAGAGAGGGAAAGGGGCTGTGTGCTGAGGACCGTGGGGAGGATGAAGGGTCAGGCTTACAGGGTACACCCTTTGGTTGGGTGATGATGCATGGACGGGATAGTAACTATGGCAATGAAACATTGTATGATAGAATGAGTGTAAAACTAATGTTCGCCCATGTAAACTATCACACAATTCACAATAAAACATTTATTTTTTTAAAAAAAGAATCCATGGAAAAATTCCTTATCTTTCAATCCCGTTTTTCCATGAACTTTTTGAAGCCCACTCATCTGCCTTTTCCTCACTTATCAACATGCTTGGGTTCCAAAGACTATGTCATTATGTGAAAACTGACATTATGCAAAAACAAGAATAACCATAACAGATAAAAAAGTGGAGGATGACTACATCGTTACATAGCTGCCCAATTACATGATTACATAACTGCCCAGCTACATCATTATATAACTGCTAAACCACTGAAAATCACAGGTCAGCCAAGTTGACATGCACCAACCCAGCCAGTGTTACTCTTGCGTCACACCTCGACATTTATTACTGCCAGAAAGACATTGTTTTTGCAAAAAAGAGTCAGATTTTTTCTATTGTCTGTCATAAATGATAAATGTCAGATAAAATAGTTAATAAGTGAGGAGGGGGTATAGTCAGAGGAGCTAAAAACAAGTTCTAAAATTAGCATATCCTATCCCATCTTCCTTTGCTCCTTTGATTTTACATTACCTTTCAGGGCATTGCTGGAAAAAAGTTGTCAGCTGCTGCAAAAGAACTGGCCAGCAGTCAGGCCTGTGTTCAAGCACAGTGATTAAAGGCTGAGGATGAGATCTGAAACAAAATAGAAAATTACATTAGAAGCTGTCATCTCAGGACTATACATTCTTAATATTCAAGTATAGCAACGTAGGAGCCAACGCCATCTAGAGACCTTTTTCCCCAAAGATTCTTAAATGTCACAAAAATATCACTTTCTGTGTTTATTATAGTGATGGTTCTATAGAAATGAGTTTTCCTTTAACTGCTTTGTGGGTAAGAGAATACCACCTGAAGTCTCAGTGATTCAAATCTAAGAACTGATGCTGCCACTTAGTAGTTCTATGACCTTGGCCATGCTCCTAAATCTAGTAACGTCACTCACATCCATCTCCATGAGTCCACTTTCTACTGATACTGCTCTCTTTGTGAGCTCTCTTTCTGGAAGGTTCTGTTTCTTCTAACATTGCTTCAACTTGTAAGCACTCTCTCTCCCTTTCTGGTCCTGTCTACCCCCATATTTCTCAGTGTATCCCTCTGTCTCCCTCTATCATATTTAAGATACCAATCCATTGCCATCGAGTTCATACCAAATCACAGAGACTGTCCCATTGGGTTTCCTAGGCTTTAATCTTTACAGAAGCACACTGCCACATCTTTATCCCATGGAATAGCTACTGGGTTTGAGCCACTGACATCTTGGTTAACAATAAGGCACTTCACCACTGTGCCACCAAGGATACTAATATTTAAAATAAAAAAACAAAAAATAACCAAACCAATTGTCATCAAGTTGATTCTGACTTATAATGACCCACCACAGAGTAGAACCGCTAAATAATAAATCTTTACAGAAAACTGATGGCTTCATCTTTCTTCCAGAGTGAGTGGTTTATTCAAACTGTGGACCTTCAGGTTAGCAGCCCAATATTTAACCCACTGTACCACCAATTAAACATTCTGTTGTTTATTGTTGTTAAGTGCCATCCATTCGGTTCTGACTCACAGCAACCCTGTACAGGGTTTCCAAGGAGCAGTTGGTGGGTTTGAACCACTGACCTTGCAGTACAGTGCTTTATCCTACAGCACCGCACCAGGACTCCTATTAAAGATAAGGGTGACCCTCCATTCACAGAGTAGACTGGGATGGGAAACTTGGATATTGGCTACCCAAAGTGGGGGGGTGGGGAGGTGGCTACAAAGGCAAGCAGTGAATGGCTTATAAGCTTTCAAGAGGGAACCTAGATCTAGAGGGCATGTTGGAAGGTAGAATCTCCACTGAGTAGTATCCAATCTGTCTAGGCGGGGCTGATGCAATGAAATGCGGATAGGTCTCTTATGATACAATAGTGAATAATTGTTATCAGGACTGATTGTGAGGGTTGGAAATGTAAAGGTAGACGTTTTATAGCAAGGAGGGAAGTGATAAACTTTTCAGTCTAGGAGCAGAGGTCCCTGGGACCATCAAGGGAGAAGAGCAGAGAGCGGGACCCTACCCAGAGAAGCAGTGATGCCAGAGATGGAGGCAGAGACGATGACATGGAGAGATGGAGTGGCTGGGGACTTTAGATCCAGAGAGGGAGATGGGCTGTGTGCTGACGATCAGGGGGCAGGCTTGCAGGGTGTACACTTTCGTTGGTTGATGATGCATGGAGGGGATTGTAACCATGGCAATAAAACGATATAATAGGATGAATGTAAAACTAACTTTATCCCATGTAAACTATCAAGTAATTCACAATAAAGCATTAAAAAATAATAATAATAAAATAAAGACAAAGGTGAATATTTAAGACATTTCTCTCATCTTAGACAAGAAACTTTCCAAACTGAAAAAGCTTGAAAGTTCTGTTGAAAGGGCTAAAAAGTTTATTTCGACAATTTCTAATAAGATACCTAATGAGACACTAGAGTTCTGGTGTGGCACTGGAAAAAGCACTGGACTGCACGGTGAGTTTCAACCATAAGTTCAGCGGTTCTAACTTACCAGTCGAGTGGGTTCTGACTCATAGTGATCCTGTATAGGGTTTCTAAAGAGCAGATGGTGGATTTGAACCTTCGACCTTGTGATTAGAAGTCTAGTGTTTATCCTATAGTTCTATGCCAGGACTGTTGTTGTTGTTAAGTGCCATCGAGTCAGTTCCGACCCATAGCGACCCTTTACAGGGTTTCCGAGGAGAAGCTAGTGAGCTTAAACCACCAACCTTGCAGTTCAAATGGCTTTGCAGTGTGGCGCATTAACCCACAGTGCCATACCAGGACTAGCAGTGATTTGAAAAAAAAAATGTGATATACTACTTTTTGACAATGGATGCAGCCAGAATACAGGTGTTGGTGAAAACCATTGCAAATTTAAACCAAAATGGGAAAGGAGAAGATCCATACCAAGATCATCATCATTTTATTCATAGTTTCCAGCAAGTCTAACACTACTGGTCACCTGATCTACAAATGTGGTGGGATCTACAAAAGAACCAACAAAAAATTTATGAAAGAATCTACTAAGATGGGGAAGGGCTCCTTTAAGTATGCTTGGGTCTTGGGTAAACTGAAAGCTGAATGTGAGTGCGGCATCACCACTGCTATCTCCCTATGGAAATCTGAGATTGGGACGTACTATGTGACCTTCACTGAAACCCCAGCACAGAGACTTCATTAAAAACATGATTACAGGAAAATCACAGGCTGACTGTGCGGTTCTGATGGTTGCTGTTAGTGTTGGTGAAATTGAAGGTGGTATCTCTAAGAATGTGCACACCTTGATCATGTGCTTCTGGCTTACACACTGGGTGTGAAACAGCTAACTGTGCTGTTAACAAAATAGAGTCCATACAGCCACCCTACAGTCAGAAGAGATATGAGGAAATCGTTAAAGAAGTCAGCACCTACATTAAGAAAATGGGCTACAACCCTGACATAGTATCATTTGTGCCAATTTCTGGTTGGAATAATGACAACATGCTGGAACCAAGTGCTAAAATGCTGGGTTCAAGGGATGGAAAGTCACTCGTAAGGATGGCAATGCCAGTAGGACCACATTGCTAGAAGCTCATCCAACTGACAAGGCCCTGCATCTGCCTCTGCAGAATGCCTGTGAGATTGGTGAGGCTGACGCTGTCCCTGTGGACATGGTGGTCACCTGTGTTCCACTTCAGTACCATTGAAGTAAAGTTACATTTCTGCTGAAATGGACCATGAAGCTTTGAGTGAAGCTCTGCCTCGGGACACTGTAGGCTTCAACATAAAGAATGTTGCTATCAAGATGTTCATCATGGCAATGTGACTAGTGACAGCAAAAATGACCCATCAATGGAAGCAGCTGGCTTCATTGCACAGGTGATCATCCTAAACCATCCAGACCAAATGAACACTGGATTGTCACACAGGTCACATTGCTGTCAAGTTTGCTGAGCTCAAAGAGAAGACTCGAAGGACCCTGGGACCATCAAGGGAGAAGAGCAGAGTGCAGAACCCTACCCAGAGAAGCAGCGACACCAAAGATGGTGGCAGAGACAATGACGTGGAGAGATGGAGCTGCTGGGGACTCTAGACTCAAGCGGTGAGAGAGGCTGTGTGCTGGTGGCCAGGGGGCAAGCTTGCAGGTATGCCTTTTGGTTGTTTGAATGGATGTATATTCCTGAGTATTTTGGTGTAAAAAAAAAAAAAAAAAAAAAACAAAAAAAAAACACCAAAGGGAATGGAAGCAATGAATGATGATGCATGGAGGGGATTGTAGTTATTACAATGAGATGAAGTAAAATGGGATAAGTTTAAGGCTGATGTTCTCCCATGTAAACTATCACTCAGTTCACAATGAAAACTTAAAAAAAAAAAAAGAGATAGAGAAAAGATTCATCCACATTCTGGTAAGAAGGTAGAATATGGCCCCATATTCCTGAAGTCTGGTGATGCCGCCACTGTTGACATGGTTGCCAGAAAATGCATAGGTGTTGAGAGCTTCTCAGACTATCCTCCTCTGGGTCTCTTTGTTGTGTGCAATATGAGACAGATGGTTGCTGGAATCCTGGTGTAGTGCTGTAGGATAAGCACTGACCAACAAGGTCAGTTTAAACCTCAAGGTCGGAAGTTAAAACCCACCAGCCGCTCCTTGGCAGCCCTATACAGGGTTGCTATCAATTGAAACCAACTCAATGGCACTTAACGACCAACAATGATGGCTTTGCTGTGGGTGTCCTCAAGGCAGTGAACAAAGAGTCTGCTGGAGTGACAAGGCCACCAAGTCTGCTCAGAAGGCTGAATGAAAATTACCTTACCACCTGACACGCAGGTCTTCAGCAGTGGTGGAAGAACTAACTCAGAACTCTTGGTCTCAATTGTCCAGTTTAGTAGCAAAAGACTGGTTAATGATAATAATGAATCATAAAACCTTCAGAAGGAAAGGAATGGCTTCTTTTTTGTGTGGCAGCTCTAACTTACTAGTTTTTAAAATCAGTACTTTTTACATGGAAACAACCTAGCCAAAAATTTGTTATAGAATTTTGAGACCCATTAAAACAAAGTTTAATAAGAAATCCATGTCTCCTTTTTGGCCAAAACTGAACCTTCTGGTATTTGCTGAAACTGTTTCAGCATCAGCTGGAACAGTTGAGGTTTTTCTAGTGTTTGTTATCTAAGGGGTGAAAAGAAATGGGGTTGGTTGCACAACTTAATGGCTAAGGGAAAAAAGGAAAACTTAATTTGTAAGGCCTATATGTAAGGAAGATTGTAGAAGAATTGATGCCTTTGAGTTGTGGTGTTGGAGGAGAATACTGAAAGTGCCATGGACTGCCAAAAGAACCAATAGACCTGT